TGCCAGAAGAGATACCCCAGATTAACAGCAGCAAGGCAGGAGGTTTGAAATGTGGAAGATTGTAATTACTAAAAGGAGATGAACTGTCCTCTTGTTCAACTCATATTAGGTATTGATCTGCCTATACTTATTTTATATCAAGAAAAAGAGGATACTTCTGCCAAAATTTCCAAAGATTCTGGAAGATGATGCACTCAATACATTGAAAGACATACCCACATCTAGGTTTGACTGTCATTAGAAACTGGCTGATTTTAAAAGCATTTTTTGGTCTGATGCCATATGATGGTCTGATGTTCCGGGAATTGCTAGTGTCCATGAAAAAGTGAGGAGGCCGTGGAATAATAATTTTCTATCCCAGGTTACACATATGACTTATACAACCACATATTTTAAGGATTTCATCACAGTCTCTTGATCCCTTTCTGAAGCCCTTTATGTCAGTAAGAAGCAGGGCTTGCCTTCACCTCCAGAAAGGAGCCTCTGCTCACAAGTGGTGGTTACTTTACCTTCTTCCCTTAGAGTCAGCAATATTTGGACTGTAGCTGCAGAGGAGTGATTGAGGGAACCATAGGGACTATAGTTCCTCCTATCTTTGGCTTCATTTCCAGAGATGCCACAGAACCTCTGTTCCCTTGGCTATAGGATGCCAAATGTTGTAGATCCAAATATTAGTGACCAGATCTGGAAATGTTGCTCTGAGCATGCCATTACAGCATACTCCTGTACTTTGGCTGGCTGTAACAGGGAGATGGGAGAGGAGGGCAGTGGAATGAGGGTAATCAGTTTTCAGTTTACAACAGATATTTGTATATAAAGGTTCAACTTAATACATTGCGTAGGAAGGCCATTCATCAACTGTACCATGGCACCTAACCATCCTCCAAACTGTAAAAACACTTATTTTACCTGTTAAATTCCATAGTATTATACTTTGTTTATTTTTATGTTCTGCAAAGTGTAAAAGAGTGCAAAAGTATTACTCTTGTTTGCATAGGAAACAAACCAAAACAAGTCCTTTCCTGACTGTGTTTTCTTTGCCTGGTCAAGCACTCCAGGTGAGGGCATGTGCTCCTTTCATATCTTGATTACAGCACTTCTAAAGAAAGCAACATGCATAGTCCTGCAACTTTGGAGGGATTAAAGCCATTGCAGGTGAGTCCTATTTTGTTGCTTGTCAAACGGCTAAATGGAGCCATGCAATGGGTCATTTATCTGGTGTCAGCAGCTGAAACTTGCATGAGAAAAAGCTGTTCTAGCAGCAACAAAAGGAAGCCTGTCACGAATGTGTAAAACATGCATGTAACTCAAACCCTTGTATTTCTATTACTGTTAAGTGTTGCTCCAAGAACCAAATGAAGTCATGAATGTTGTTTTGGCGATATCTAGCTTAGGATACTTCAGTGCTTAAAATTAATTTATATAAAAATCAAACAGCACAAAAGCGATTTAAAGTTGTTGTAGTGCCAACGGCAGGTCAGCAGGGTGTGAGTGGTGTTACTGCGTCTCTGCATATCCCGGGTATGTCAAATACACATGGTTCTGTGGCACTCTGGCAATATCCTTTCCGCACCACAGAGATACATTACCTGTTGTTGACCCAGACGATGTCAGCAGCCAACACAGATAACCGCTGTCATTCCCACTGCTGATGAGGAGTTGTCATTGAGATGCTGCCAACGAGACTTGCAGAGGAAGTTTGCTGCGATGGTGAGATCCCCAATCACTTGTCCGGTAGCTCAACGCACACGTTGTTCAGAGCTATTATCTTGCAGCGTTACGCAGTTCAAATGAAGTGCATTGCAACTACGTTAGCAGTGTATTTTGACAAAATCTTTCAACGTGAAGCACAGTTTAATCCACGTAAGATTAAAAATCTTTCCAAAATATAAAAAAAAACTATAAAAAAAGAGAGGAAAAAATAAAAAACTCACCAAGAAAGTAAGAGATGCGCTTTTTTCTCATTCAAGGACAAGCTTTTGTTACTCATATGGATGGTAGGGAAAAGTAGCTCCTTTTCTCTCGAGCTGCTGTGAGCTGCCATGCTGCAGGAGAGGTGTACTGCTAGGGAAGATGTGCCTAGGTGATGTGGGCTGTCCACTGTTCAGCTTCATCCCATGGTGTGCAGAAAAAGGTGAAGTATGAGTCTCTCCTAGCTGTCCTGTGTGGCTGGCTGTACTGCACAGAGTGGCTCTGTCATCTGGAAAGGGAAGCCTTTTCCAATCAATAATCCACCTCAAAGCTGCCACGCTTACTGAAATCATGTATGCTCCCTTACCTTGAAGGATTTTGAATTTATCCTGAAGACCAGCATAGCAAATGTCTCCCTGTCACTCTCCAAATGCTCTGCTTGCACACTCCTGGGAGCTTTGCACTTGCTCTTTATAGCAGCACTGAAAGTCAGCAAGGTCCTGGGGGAACGACAAGAACCAAGCAGCTCTTGTCCAGCAACAGTGTTTGGGAACCATAAGAAAAGATCCAGTTTTATCTTAGTTCTCAAGAAAAATGTCACAGGATGTTTAATGTCCTTTCTGAGGAAAGACCTGTTGTTTTCCAGATCTTGCCTGAAAACACATGCAGTATTCAGCAAGCCACTTAGTTTATCTGTCTTGGAAAAACAGAAGGCTGCTGGAATTTGAAACTTGTTCCAAGAGTCTAGGGTCCAAATCTCTGTGAGTCCTTCCCCTGGTCTGGGGTTTTGAACTGA